ACATGCACCTGCTACCTCCCCGCAGTCAGGGACCGGGCCGGGCGCTCACCTGCTGCCGAGGCGGAGGGGTCCCGGGCGGCAGCGCTGCGGCAGAGCCGGCCCCAGGCGCGGGAGGCAGGTGCGTGCCGAGCCGTGAGGAAAAACCGGCCCGCGGGCTGTCCCGGCTCAGGTGGGCACTTTCGAACTCTCCCCCGCCCCCCCGCGCCTTCCCATTGGTTGTCACCGAGCCCAACCCAGCCCGGGCGGCGCCTGATTGGCGGAGGCGCAGCGGGAGACCTGAGGCCGCTGAGGCTGGGGTAGCTCCCCCAGCTCGCCCTTTGCGCCGGGGCCCCGTGTGGGGAGAGAGCACAGCACACAGCGGGAGCAGAGCAGAGGGGAAGAGGTTTGCCATCCATCACTAGCAGGGACGGGGGTGGAATTTCATCTCCAGGTCCCATCTCCGGATATCTTATCATCCGGGCAGCAAGGGCAGGCAGAGATTCTGGCTTCACAGCTCCCGGATTATGACTGACCAAGTGGGGCAAAGGTGGCCCCTCACCCTTATCGGGCGCTTACATAACCGAGTTATACAAAGCTGCAGCATGTCCCCTCAAGCCCCACCCATGCTCTGTAGAGACCTAGGCAGGTTCCTCTGCTCAACATGGAAGACCTTGAGCCTGCTATGAGCAGGGCTGGGCCACGATTTTTGGGGGCGCCCAAAAATCAAATTTGTGGTTAATTGTGGTGTCAACTCAGTGAAATAAAATAATCAGGACCAGACTGCATGCACATCGGCTGTGCAGTGGGGGTCGTGGGGTGAGGGCAGCAGGTGCTGGGGACACCTGGGTTTCCTCGCCAGGGCTGGGAGGGAGCAGAGCCAGGAACTCCTCTCCCACTCCACTGGGAAGGGGCTCCCTGCCTGCATAGAGCCCTTTAAACATGGCACAGGTGGCAGGGGGCGAGTGGGGCACGACCCCTTGCCTGCAGGACTCTCTGCGGCCGCAGGTTCAGCAGGATAGAACGGGCTGGCCTTGCTAGAAGAACCCATGTATATGGGCCCTAAAGAGCTTCACTGATGGCCTAGTTGCAGGAGTGAGATCAAGACTAAGGCAGCTGCAAGGTCTGGGAAATAAGAAAGCATGTACAAAGTATTAAATGCAAGAGCATGCCATTTTCAACAAGGTTTATCAAATATTTGATATGCCAAACCATCACAAGGCCTATTGTCATTGGGAGACAGATTTCCTTCTAGATTTTGCAGCATCCTGGAGAAAAGGTTTGAAGGTAGAAAGAGCCTTACGGATTATTGCAGGTAAAGTATTCCAGAGGCGCATAATACAATACAGAGCTACAAACAATGGGTGCTGTGTTAGCAGGTAATTGCCACAACAGCTACAGATCCTGAGTCAGCATTTCACATGGATCGCATGTGGGCACAGCGCATGCGTTTCCACAGAGAGTAATACTTTGTAGTTTTAAAGAAAAGTATAATTATCTCCATCGTTCACCAGCATTCTTTAAAAAAAAAGGATTGAGGTTAAAATGCTAAGAGTCAGATGAAGAGGGCAACACAGTTGTTAAAGCCGCCTGGGAATCAGCAGTCTGGGTTGCTGTATAACCATGGCCAAGTCGCTGAATTTTCTGTGTCATTGTATACTCATCAGAAAAGTGGAAATAACCTTTGCCTACATCTGTGGCTATGCTGAGAATCAGTTAATCAATGCTTGTCACCTGAGTTTTACTGCTGTTACTGTCATGCATGGTTGAATTAGAGCCATGTGAATAGGCCACAAGGAAGTTCATAGGAAAGGAAAAGTTACTAGAACCCAAACTTGGCACCAAAAGGATCAGTAAAGTCCTATCATTCCAATTTTTGGGGTGACAAGACAAGGGACGGGCTTAGAAAATGAAATGTAGACTAAGATCTTTTGGTAAAAATATTACATAGATCTCAGCCATAAAGTCTAATTAACCATTAGTTTCTCACTGACATAAGCAGTATCACCAGCTTCCTTGCTGTATTTTGATTAGTGTTTTCTGTTTCTGGCGGTCTTGCCAGAACTGTGTATAGTTCCAATGGGGCTCATTAGGGCTTTGATTCCTCCAACACGTATACACTGCTAAACTTTTCTGCTTTGAATAGATGCACTGATTTCAGTGGGATTACTTGTGATAATAGAGTTAAGAGTATGCACATGCTGAAGAACTGGAAAGCCTGGGTAGGAAACGAGAGTGTGTTGGGGGGATTCAAGTGACATTTTGAGGGTTAAAAAGGGAAGGGTTTGGGTTTTTTTTGAAGAAATGTGCCATGTAGAACATCTGTCCTTTGCTACCTCCTTCCTTAGGCTGACCACATACTACCATGTCCCATACTGTGATGCTCACATGGAGGAGCTTGTGATGGCCATTGGATGTTACCTTGCAGCCCCACTTT